GCAAAATCTGACAGGAAGAGGTCTGGCAGACCCAAACCCACAACTAAATCAGAGGACAACAGCTTCCGTGATAGGTGGCTCACACGACAACATTTTTAAGTGGTCGTAGTAAGCAAGCCTCAGTTTCAACTGTGAAGAGAAGACTTCGAGCTGCAGGTTTGACAGGACGAGTTGCAACATAAAAGCCATTGCTAAGATGTCAGTATAAGACAAAGAGGCTTGCCTGGGCCAATGAAACACAGCCATTATGGAGTAATGAATCAAAATTTGATGTCGATTGCCTAATGTGAAGAGGAACATTATTCCAAAGCTTTGGAGCCACAATAAAAAACGCCCGGTCTCCTCTCAGTTTCAGCCGTGATTTGGGGACTGAGAGCAACAGCTCCTCAGCTGACTGGAGCAAACGAGTGGGGACATAGGGCTTCAGCAAATCAGACAAATATGCAGGTGCCAGATCATTAAAGGATTTAAAAACCAATAAAAGGACTTTAAAGTGAATCCTAAATTCAATTGGAAGCCAGTGCAGGGAAGCCAGAACCGGAGTAATGTGCTCTGAGTAATCAACTGTCAAATATGGAGGAGGAAGTGCGATGGTCTGGGGCTGTTTTGCTGGATCCAGGGTCAGTGAGTTGTACAGAGTGAGACGCACACTGAACCAATACGACTACCACAGCATTCTGCAGCGCCATGGAATACCTTCTGGTATGCGCCTAGTTGGTCAAGGTTTCAACCTACAGCAAGATAATGACCGAAAACATAAGTCTGGGCTATGCCAGAAGTACATAAGGAAAAAGAACAAGATGGTAAGCTTAAAAACATGGAATGGCCAGCACAGTCCAAAGACTTAAATCCCATTGAGCTGGTTTGTGATGAACCGGACAGAACAGTGAAAGCAAAGCAACCCACAAGTGCCACACATTTATGGGAACATCTGCAACAGATATGGGGAAGAACTTTCTGAAGAATATTTGACTTCTATTGTAGAAAGAACGGCACAAGTGTGTTCAGCTGTTATATCTGCCAAAGGTGGCAAAAGTTTAGAATACATTCTGGTGCTTTCATTTCAGAGTGCAATGAAACATTACACTGCATAAATTTCAATAAAAAACTGGAAAAATGGTGGTGTTCTAAAACTTTTGACTGGTAGTGCATATTCACGATATTCAAGACAATGCTATTAAATCAGAGTTTGTAGTTCAGTGAGTCCAAATAAGAAAGTGTTATTGCCCAGGGTAAAGTTTGAGGTCAATAAATAATCAGCTAAATAGAAATATATAATATAGGATGACAAATTTATGGTCATGAAGTTGTAGAGGACCAATTGTGTCTTTAGTCTTCTCCATCTTTTTTCTGCTATCCTTATAACCCAGCCTTATTGTGACAGTTTTACAGACAAGGGCCAATCATGCAGAGAGGAAGGGTGCATCGTGAGTCTCTGTGGTAATACTCTGCAGGGAATAGGGGCTTCATATTAAAGGGTATGGCATTCATGCTTGTTTCAGAGAAAAGCTGAGGTAAATGTGGCTGAGATGTCACAGTGTGCAAAATGGCATTTGAAATTTATTTTTGATTTACTTTTAGAATCAGTCAGAGCAATTCACGGCACATAAACTTTCAAAAGTTCACACAATGTAGTGGAGTACAGCCAGATGTGCGGTGTTAACAATCAGTTCTACACACACAAGCATACTGCTCACATTGACAAAACAGAGCTTTAAAACAGTGGTGGGGGGGTTTACCTTTAATTCTGGCATGTTGACTATTAAGGCTAATGGGACTTTACAATCAGGTTCGTTGGTGTAGTCCATTGGTACAAGATGTGGAGCCAGCTCATGGTATCTGCCATGCAGCCTAGGAAAAGAAAATAGACCTTTGACTTTTAAGTCAATACTTTCAGGGCATATCTGAGATATTCATCAACAGGGACGCTAGTCTTTGAGAACAAACTTACTACAATTAAACTAGATAAACCTGTCAAGGTGACTGAGTTTCATTGGTAGACTGCTAGGAACAAGTGAGGTTTACTGAAACAAGTAAATCTGTTTAAATTTAACTGTTTTTTCATATATGTCACATACTTCCTCTAATAAAAATGAACACTATATCTTCTTTTCCAAATTGCATTTTGTTTTCTGAATACTTTTGTGCAATGTCAATAAAGTTAAATCTGAAGAAACTAAAGTGTTTTTTAGCACCCTATTATGACCTCTTTTTAGTATCCAGCACTACTAGCCTAGGTCAAATTGATGTCAATGAGGAGGACCAAGTACACAAAGAATTCTCAAATGCCTTATTTTGTTTATTTTGTTGTAAAAAATAAATGCAAATTAGTAAAGAATGTCTTGCTAAAAAAGAAAAAAAGAAAAGAAAAAATCTAATCTAACATCTAGAACAAACCACAGCCAAAAGAGAGTGAAATGCAAAGGTACAGTAAGTGCTCACTTCCGTTAACGAAAAAAGCGAGTCATTTGTGCCTGTCATCAAGTGGATAAGCGACAACAGGAGAGAAATTAAGCTGTCCAGTGAGTCGTGACAACGAGTGTTATCACTAGATGGAATTATATTTATTTGATTTAGGTTTTTTAATGTTTAAGTAGAAATGTGACACTCTTTTTGAATGGCTCTGAAAACGATACGGCAGTCAAAAGGTCAACATGAATTTCAAAAGGTTTACCTAACATACTACAGCTACAGCTACCGGACAGAACCTTCTAAATCGTCACTAACAAACACCTGCATGTAACAGCACTGTTTACAAATCATAAATCCACATACTTTTCCATTCATTGACTAAATGGTATATTTGCCTGTATTTGATTTCATACTTTAAAGAGACCAACATTCGACTGGGTTGGATAGTGAATGAAGGAGGGAACGGAGCCATTACACTATAAATAGCAGCACTGTACTACACTATGCAGATTTATATGCATTTTTATATGAAATGAATCATAATCCACATTATGTTTACTGAGTGAAACATCTGTATATCCATTGTATGTCTGTTCTAGCTGCTCAGCTGTCAAGTTGCATGTATTTCAGCAAGTCTCTGAATCTTGTTCTAGGTCTGTTACTATGATTCAAACCAAAATATTGCAACGAAAGGAAGTGAAAACTTACAATATAGTGAAAGCTTATAATGTTAACAAATATACATATATAATTGGGGTCATACGTCACCGCACATAAGTTACCATTAACACTCAAACTCATAGTTGGAAACAATTTTATGACATAAAACAACACAACGGCACACACAAATATATGCATGCATGCCACTTGATAAGTTACTGGTGTCTCTAGGCCAAAACTCAGCTTTTGATTTACTGTAAATCAGCAAATCAGAAGCAAACAGCCCAACCAACTCCAGGAATACCAAGGTAATGTTGGTCATGTATGCTAGCTGTAGTGTGGTGATCTATTTTATACAAAGCGATGTAATGAAAGAATGGATGAAAGAACTTAACATACAGTATTAATTGCCAAATCCTGACCCATTTAAAGCACACGCAGTCTGAAAGCCACAAAAATACCCCAGGAAAATAAAAGAAAGGCTTATAACAACATATTTGCATCTTCTTATGGTCGGTGTAAGTGGTGAATTTATGTGGTTTAAATGAATGACAGTGCAACATATATCTGCGAGCGATTTAAAAAAAAAAAAACCCCATCAAACTCTTACCGCAGAATTTCTTTCCGAGTAAAAAACGTGCAATCCTGCAATGAGAGAAAAACAGCATGTAAAAAACAAATAATTTGAATTGAAGGTTTTATAGCACTGCACATGATGACAAATCCTTTAAGGTGCAATCGAAATTTGCATAAAATGCTCACAATGACACATCTGTGAAGAATCATTACTGTAAAACACTGAGCGGGGTGTCTGGTTTCTCCTAAACGATGATGCGTTTAAGTACATGAGAACATAATCTGCTGTTGTCTGACATGCATGTGCTGGCACACGCATTATCCAACGACTCTACCGGGGGCACCTCAGTTTACAGTTGTCTTTTGTATGAATTCTGTCTGAGCTACTCCCCTGGGTGTTAGAAGCAGAGTGCAGTCAGATGAGCTCAAGGGACTGCACCTTTTGCTTTCACCGATACACCTACTAAAGTCAACCTTACCTGCTATGCTCCATAACACGAGATAACAATGTGCTGACACTTAGAAATGCCATTACAGTCATGCTGTTCTAGATTCCCCGTTGAATGAAGCAAGCTGATGGAGTATCTAATGATCTATTTGAGCTGAAGAAAGATATAAATTCGAGTGATACTCTAGAGATAACAAATGTTAGACAAACAGAAACGGTACTCTAGGAGTAGTTGAAGTAACCAGAGAAGCTCTTGAGAAACTGTGTCCTGAGAGTAGAGTTTCACGGCACATCATCGCTGGCTTTGGCATCAATTATTAAGCCCATAGCGAATCACATGATAAACCTGTGCATATGAGGATGTCTTTCTCCCTGGGAAAACCTGGATTTTTGTTACAGGGAACAAAAGGTCAGATCTTCTTAGATGATCAGTTTACATGATATCCTCCAGTTTGGAATGAAATCAAGACCTTTTGCTATCTGCTTATCAATATTTAAATAAAAATGTGGCCATAGCTGACGACACTATAGTAGGAAATTGTTTTTTGTCTGTCATAAATTAAATTGATGGGGGAACTATAGGACCAACGAAACACCCTAGATGTTAATAATCAATATTTATAAAGTGACTTTCCCTTTTTTCAATATGTGAGAAAATAAAAAGATAAATAAAATGATGATTTGTGTTAGTCTAACAACAGGAGTGCAATAATCACAAAAAAAACATGTTTAATTTTACAGAGATTTTTACTTCACTTAGCCTTCAAAGTTTTCCAGTAATGTGTTTAATTGGCTGCACATAATTAAGACATTAAAACATTATTCACTTGAATGAATTGCTTGACATCCAGATTTCAAACACAGGTATGGACACAAGCTTACCTGATAAGCATCAAGCTGCTCGTCGGTAAATATCGTTTGTTTATTACCCATCTTGATCAAGTAATTTGTTGCTTGTACACATTCACAGCACTGAATGTCCGAAGCCCTTTCTCAATGAAAGGCATTTAGAAGGTCCGCAGAGACAAAGTCTCCGCACAAGATGAATTTATATCGTTGCAAACTCCTATCAAAGGGTATTGGTGTCCTTCCAGACGATGTCCTCCACGACTGCAAAAGTAGATGAAGTGCGTCAAGAATATATCTTAGTAATAAATATTTTCGTTTAAGTCGGAGCCAGTGGATGTTGTCTGCTGACCCCAAGGAGTGCAAAGTGATCTGTTTCCCCTCCTTAAGTACCCAGATGGTGTCCACCGGAGTCCAGACAAACCAATGGGACCGGAGCTAAGAAATGAATAAATAAAAAGGCCTACTTGTGAACTAGAAACTGCTAGCAACAGGAATGATGTAACCTCACCTTGGGGCCACTTAATTACACACTAATTAAACATCTTTTTTCTTCTTCTATCTTACACAATATTGCGAACAGGCTATTACTGATATCACTGATAAGATGCAATCTGTGCTTTAATATTGCAACCAGTTTGCTATTGCTAAATTGTAAAATTTGGGCACTTTTTTTGCTCGTTTTTAAAA